TTGTGTGATTGGAATGCTTTGGTGGATTCTGCTCCTACCCCTGCTTTAATTGCTGCAGTTGTTGGTTCCGTAGTCTCTTCTCTGCAGCACCTGATGTTGGAAAATGAAAAAACAAATATTAAATAAAAAATGTAACCCCTGATGCTGGTGACAGGGAGAAGAAGAGTTGACCGAGGAAGAAAAAGGAAGAAGAGTTGATCAAAATGTGCATGAGTGGGGAAAGGAGGAAGAAGAATAAGATAAAATAGGAAGAGAAGTGTCAAAGGATAAGCAGGGAGCCTTCCTTTTTTTTTACTTTTATCTTTCTCTAGTGGTTACTTGAAAAGAGGATCTGATCTTTTTACTTGACAGGGTCGTAGCTTACTGAGTTATTTTTACTTTGTCAGAAGCAAAACAAAGTAAAATGAATGGAAAGAAAAAGCCCAGCGACAATTTGTTTCATTACCATTCGTCTTTTATTTGGTATTTTCGTTATTTTTTTCTTATATTTTTATTCACCATTTTTAAAAAATAATTTTATATAGTTTTTACTTTAATAAATTTTAATAAAAAAATATAAATTTAAAAATCTATTACATGCTTGAAACGAAACTTAAAAAAGACTTCCTTATTATGTCACGTATAAGCTTAAAGAGTGGCCACACCGAATGGGGATTTTAAATAACTATAGTAGGCTTCTATTAGTAATGATACTAAAGTGACTCTTAATAGTAGGCTTCAATAAATCCTTTTGGAATAAACACTAATATTTTAATATGTAAATAAATATTATCACATTAATTTTATTAAATTATTTTCAACAATTCTCTTATAAATAAATAAATTTATATTTCATATATAAGAATAATTTTATAAATTTACATTACATTCTTAATAAAATACTTTTAAACCAAATATTATAATATAATCTTCTCAACAATTACATTCTTTACAATCATCATTTTCTCATGTTATACTAAATACTACAAAATTATCTTTTCAGTAATTACATTCTCAATAAAAAATTAAGCCCCACCTAAAAAATTGACATTCTCTTAATTGATTACAATGATATTATAATTATAAACACATTTTCTTTACTTTATTACAAATCAAATATTGTAAAATCTTTGCACCCATTTAAATGATAGAGAATGCACTGCACTTCCACAATATGTACAAGAATATAAGTAGCGTTTGGTATGAGGGAAGTGAGAGCAAATTTCTTGCAATGTGTTCAATTAAATGACATTGCAGTGTTTGTTTTGCAACAGACCACTGTAATGTAATATTACAATGCAATCACATTACAGTCAAGAGATGTAATATAATTACAGTCCAGAACTAATGCAATCACATTACATTGCACTCTACAATGTTCTTAAAAACATTTTTACCTTTTAACTTTATTACTTTATTAAAAATATTTTATAATATTATAATTAAAATAAAAAGTATTAAAAAAAATATATAATATAAGAATCAAAAATTAAAATAAAATAAAATATAAGAAATTAAAATTTATATAATATAGGTAAAATAAATTAAAATAAAATATATAATATAAAAAATTATATTAAAGAAATGAAAATAAAATATATAAAATTATAATAATAAATAAAAATAAAATATATGACATTAAAAATATATTTAAGAGATAATATTATATAAAAATTGACAATAAAAAATATAAATATATTGAACTTTCATTTTAATAGATAGGGGTAATTTTGAAAATTAACATTACATTGCCAGTAAAGTATTTGTAAACTAAAAGTTGTAATGTTATCTTTCTCACATTTTAATTATTATTTTGCTTGTATACTAATATTGTAATATTATTTTTTCTGTAATCACATTACATTATAAAGTACCAAATGTCACTATAGTGTTGTTTGCCTTATCTATAAGCATTTATTTTTATTTTAATAAGAAGCCCACTTTATGGGTTAAACCTGTGGGTTGGACGGCTTGTCAATCCTACAAGCCCAAATAGGCCTCGAGCAAGGTTTCTTAGGTTCAGGCTCAACTTGCTCTGGACGGCCTGTCAATCCTACAAGCCCAACTTAGGCCTGGGGCAAGGTTTTTTAGGTTCAGGCTCAACTTGCTCGGTATTATTATGATATTAAAAATATTATTTTATAATTAATTTTTAATTTTCCTGAAATATTTAAAAAATAAAATATTAATAAAAAATCATTCTATTTAAATGAAGAGGTTAGATCAGGCGTCACGATTACATGTTTTTAATTAAAAAACATACTTGATAGATGAAAGAAAACTTTTATTTATATATTTATTTTTTATCCATATGAAATTCATAACATTTATTCTAACTAATTATACAATGAGAGACTTTTCACTCATAAAGGATAAAAACCTTTAAATTGATTTAAGTTTATTTCTATCTTTACATCTCTAATAAAAATCTCATATCAATAAAGATATAGATTCATTTTAATATTATTTATTATATATTTATATTTTTACTTTAAAAATATATTTAATAAATAATAAAAATATATATTTATATATTAAATTTCAACTCATATATTATTGATATGAGATGATATGAGATTCGTGACAGTAAAACGGAGCTCCGTTACTTAGGTGGACATCTTCGATTTAATTGTTCAATGAGATTCTCCGACGCGCTGAGAAGCGACCGTGTGAAACACTCTCCCCGATATCTCAACTTTCCCGCTCCTTTTCTGGGCGGCTCAGCTTAAGAAAAAAAAATTTCTAACGGAAGAAAATATTTCTCGCCATTTTTTCTCCAGCAGCAAACCACCTCACCCTCCCTTGCTGGACCCATGAATAGTCGAGAGGTCGCTCTGGTCTCTACGGCCACTTTCGTTGGTGTTCTAGCCTCCGCTTTTGCTTATCATTTTTTCTTATCCAGTTCTAAAAAACAATGCTCTCAAGCCGATTCGTCAAGAAACGGCGTCGTTTCCAAGAATCGCCTCTGTCAGGATCCTTTCGATACCTCCAAACGCAAAGGGTCAGCAAAATATGTTGCTCTTTTGTTTTTGGAATTATTGTTCGTATTTTTAGTAATGCATTTACAATCTTGAGTTAATTCGCTTTGGTTTGGGTGCAGATATTTGTCATGGGATGATTATTTTATGGCAATTGCATTTCTATCCGCTGAAAGGTCCAAAGACCCAAACAGGCAGGTTATGATTTTAGTTTAGAGGCTATGATTTACTTATTAGATTATGACAATTATACTTTCCAAAGTGCTTAATTTTGGCAACTGATATGGGTAGCTAATTGGAGATGGCTTGAAATTCAGACCTCTGATTTTTATACTGATTTTAGGTTGGTGCATGCTTGGTGAGTGAAAATGGTATAATACTTGGTAAGATTGACAGCAGCTAAATTTCTATTAGAAAAAGAACTTTTTTGCTAAAGTTTCAATCTTAAGTCACCAATGCCAAGCATTCATTACTTATGGATGGTAACCTTTTTCTTGAATAGGCATTGGGTATAATGGATTTCCAAGAGGTTGTTCAGATGACAAGCTTCCCTGGGCAAAGGTTTGTGTGTGTTAATGTAAGCTTCCAACATTGTTAAGGAAAATCTTGCTAATAAATATCTACATTTATGTCTCAGATGTCAAAGTCTGGGGATCCATTGGAGACAAAGTATCCGTGAGTACTGTATTTTCCTCATCTCTAACTCTTGATTTGTGACTGATGACTTAATTGTATTCCTTATGTTTCTGCTTAAATTTATTTTTCTTTCTTTGTTTTAGTTTGTATGTACTTGACTTGTTATTAATGGTCTTCAGACTAGCTCATTAATCAAATTTTGTGCTCTGCACCTTCAGCATGATTTAGTTGCTCATGCATATGCCTGACTTTAGCCAATTGATTGACTCACCTCTCAGATCATCTCTTGTAGGTATGTTTGTCATGCTGAAGTCAATGCTATCCTGAATACGAATCATGCATCTGCAGCTGGACAGGTCAGTTACGCTCGAATTTCCCTGTAGACCTTTGCCAGACAAAACATAGTGAAATGGGAATGCTTCATATTTTATCATATGAACTTAACATATATGATTCAACCTTCAATGAACACCAAGCTAAACAAAGTATCAAAACTCTGTGTTCTGTATATGATTTGTATTTTCTGCTCATTTCCTGTTACCATTGTCAGTTATCCTTTAATAGTAATGGCACTGAGAGGATCTTTCATCTCATTGTAATCTTTACAGAGGCTGTATGTAACGATGTTTCCTTGCAATGAATGTGCAAAGATAATCATTCAGGTTTGGTGCCATGTTCCCTCTAATTCAATTCTATTTCCATGCTTGCTAAGCGTGTAACATACCAAATAATCTGTCGTCCACATATTGGTGACTCTTATTGTGGATTTGGCTTTTCCTTCTTTCAGTCAGGTGTCTCGGAAGTCATATATTTTGTAGAGAAGAGACTGAATACGGACACTACATATGTTGCTTCGCACAAGCTGTTATCAATGGCTGGTGTTAAAGTAAGCCTTGGTCCACAGTTATACAGTACATGGTTTTTCTGCATAAAAATGTGCCAATGTGGTCTATGTTCGGTTTGTCATAAGGAGGTGCCTGTCATCTTTCCTTATAGATTTGTAGGTTTTATGATGTAGGGAGTCTAATAACGGGAATACGCTTGTTCACCAAGTTCATGTTAGTGTTATTTCCGTCCACGAATAGGATCTAGAGTTCTTTCTTTGCATTTGACTCCAGTTTCTCACATGAATCTCTATTCTCTGCAGGTTAGGAAACATCAACCACAGATGGACCAAATTTTGCTGAAGTTCAAAGAGCCCTAGACTCGGATTCTTGTACCATTTTTCATTTTGTCAGACGGAAAATTACTAGTCAGCTCTCTTATAACTTGCGGGACTGGACTTTAAGATATTCACTGTTGTGCAAGTATTAGTTTGAGGCTCCCGACTCAAAAGTGTCTGCGTTGTGTGCTTTGATTTGATTTTTTTTTTCTGTCATTTAACGGTTATGCTGATCAGCCTGATTAGTTTAAGTCATGTCCTATATTCTAGAATTTACGCTTTTGGTATTGGACCTTGGATGCATGATTTGCGAAAGCTGGGGAGTTTTATTGTGAACTATTACTTTGCTTTCTAATCTATCTAAAGAAGTTCGACAAGATTGGTCTAAATCACGATACACAAGCCATTGGGTCAATGGTTGAGTAACAACTCAGCACACAACATAGGATGCCGATTACCTGATGAGAGTTGAGACTAGAAAAATTGATCCACTGAAGCACAGAATGCTTTGGGGCAAGCCTCGCATTAATTCAAATATAAATTATATTGTATGAAAATGAAAATTTCTTAGTTAACCCTAAGAAGTATACATATTTCTGAATGGCTGGATCATTTGCTTGAATATTGGACCCCAAGAACTGCTTTATTTACCCCCCAAAGGGCATTGGTTATGACGGACTCTTAAAAACGTTCCTAATTTGCAAAAACAAAAGATGTAATGGGACATTAATCAGCATTCAGGGCTTCAAGTTGCCTCCGTAGATCTTCAAGGTCAACAATACCAGTATCCAAGGCTTCAAATGCAGGGGGCTTTTGAAATTCATCTGCACTTGGGAGCTCATGAATGAGACCTTCTGGAAGAGCATCTGAAAGCATAGAGAGGAAAATAGATTAGGGAAATGAAATATTGAGATCAAACAAGAGTGGTTCACGAACATCACAAGCAAACAAAATGTTTTAATGGGGCAGTTAAAAACTTCTATATAAAATGACACTGCAGTGACTCTGCATCAATGATCAAATGAAAGAACACCAAAATGGCAAAAAGAACAGATCATAAAATCAATTTATGGGGCACTGGAGTGCTGTGGTTGCAGGTTTGTATAAAATGGCCCCGCAACAATGCTGTCTAAAAGGTAGAAGAAAAACAGTCCCCAAAGAGGTTCTGGTAGAGATATAATCCTTATAAATCGGGTGAGAACTGCAAGCCTGCACTATAAGCTGCACTCCATGAGCAACTAAGCTACAGTTTTTATCCTTTGAACCGCCAAATTCCAATGTTTAATCGGTGAATTCAATGGGAAGTAACAGGAATAACATAGTAATTCTTCTCAAATTTTTGTTTAGAAGACCTCTATTCATTTATTAACCAGAACTTTATGAGAAAATAATGCAATCAGATATGAAAGGAAAATCAGTAATTCACAACTAGAAGAATGGTCAAATCAAGAGTATAAAACAAAAGGACACCTGAACGTGTGCCACCTGTGCTCTCCAGCACACTATCATCGACAACACTGCAAAAACAAAACCAAAGATGCATAAACTGGCTAATTTCCCAAAGTAAAACTATATAATGATATGATTCAGGATAATAACAGATGCAAAAGAACCGATAACATCTTTTAACATTGGAGAAAGTGGTTTATTTTGACCTTAAATGTCAGTCAATCATAATATAATTTGCAAATTTTATCGAATGTCAATATAAATATAACTACACCAACCAAAAAAACAAAAGGGAAAAAAAGAGTGTATTGCTTTCAGAGAGTCCAAAACTATGTTAACATGCACAAGTCCCTCTCCCAAAGTTGCAGTTTGTACCTTATGTTCCATTCATTATCAGCATGAAGTGGCAAATCTACTGTTGCGGCTGATGCTTCAGCCTCCATCTTGGCTTTAGCCTCAGCATCCCTGGCTGGCTTTGCAAGAATGTATTCTTTCTGCAAAGCAGCAATCCATTCTAGCATCAGAAGAAAAACCAAATGACCTGAAAGACAGACAAAAAAATCTCTCTTACCTGCCGCTCCAGACAGGCAGCATTTGAACATTGGGGATTTGGTTTCATTGCCATAGTTGGGAAGTAATCTTTAAGAGAACTGTATCCCTAACATCAAGCAAGAAAGCCAAACTCTATCAAAAACCAAGTATAAACACATGAAGCCATTAATATCACAAGAAGTCTGGGTAAGTACGCATCACAAGCAACCTTCTAATAGAATTAGTAAGGTCTATCTTCCCTCAGGCTATTATAGAGGAACACAAAACAAGGATTACACTACAGACAACCATACAGAGATGGAAAGAGGGAGGGAGAGTTGATGTAGGATTTACCAAATAGGGAGAAACGTGTCCAAATTTCAGTAAGAACTTAAGCGTATTTTGGACTAGGAGCCCAGCAACAACTCCCTGAAAAGTTAGTTCATATACTCCATGTTAGGAAAAGCAGGGAAAAAAAGATATTTTAAAGTACCAAACAGTGTATTGAGAACTTAATGGTTCTTGGTAATACACAAGCTAAAATAGAATTTAATGATTTAAGTACCAAATAGTACATGCTGAAAGGATACACCATCACATGTGCAGTCACATATTCATGCATACACATAAAGAATTATACATGCACATGTACAGAGGCATTCATGCATGCATCCATGTATGTATGCATGTGTGTGTGTGTTATGTAAGATAGATGCATTCATGTCTGTATGATGTGGATGCATGCATCCTAGAGACGAGAAACAGCCAAAGGAACCTAGAAAGAACAAAAGCTTACCATGGTAGTTGGCAAAGATGCAGCACAAACCCCTTCACGTTTGAGTGTTCGTTCATCCACTCCAGATGCTACAACCTACAAAAGAATAAAATGCAAAATTACTGTTTCACATTCTTCATTATATAACTTAACTGTACACAAACATGCACTAGAGATTTCACATCTTCATTAAGCTAATATCATAGATTAATGGATGAATGTACCAAAGGAGGTGCACATGCAAAACAAGCAGTTTCTCCAGGAATCAGCAACTGTATATGACCTGAAACCGCATCCTCAGATACACCTGTCCCAAATTTTCCTCTTTTTAGTAACCAGAAGCAACAGAGGGGCAAACCAAGCATATTTTCATAACTTTACTTGGAATCTTCTCAGCATATTTTTGGCTGAAGTGCAATATGGCTATAAATATGTAGTGGCATGCAAACCACTAAAAGTCAAATGGACACATGAAGAGGTATCACACTGTAGTCATCAAACATTAGCTTAAGTACCAGTAATAAGTCCGAGCCTACTAATAATTTTAATGCCATTATAACAATATCGAATCAATGTAGAACTCAACACTCCATATGATTCCTTAAACATCTTGTAGTTCAATCAATTACAGTGGAAGTGCATGAGGTCAGGCTTCTTGAGGCTTTGGATCAAGATAACAAGGCTATTAATTTCACAGGATTATCAGGCATCTCAAAAGGAAAATTGAGCACCTTACTGAAACATAAAAATAATAGAAGGCACTTCTTACAATATTGTACTTCTACCAATGAGTTCAATTAACTCGGTTACTAGTGGAGTAATGAAAACTAAGTTGCTTACCAGACTCCATCCATGTTTGATTCAACTCATTGCATGCCTGTATAGACAAAAAAAAATCAGATACAGAATCCAATATTGAAAATGGTAAACAGTTCATATACAAGAAGGTCATCAAACTTGGCATCTATCAACTTAGGCCTAAAGGAAATATACGCACTTTAGATGTAAAAGTCAAGTTACCTGGTTAACCACCATCCTTGCTTCGTAATTGTCTACACAGCTTAAAACAAGATCCACTCCGCTACCTTCTTTACTTGGGCAAAATGTTTTATTTCTTAAGCTTGACATAAAGGTTTCAAAGCCTTGTACGGTTGTGATGTTCAGTGTATAGCTCTGAAAAAATGAATTAATCAATGTGATAAGTTGTAAAAATGCTCAGTGATGGTCTAACCTGATTGTTTACAATTATAAGAATATCATAATGTTTTTATCATTTAAAAAAATTCTGGAAAGGCTATCAGATTAGACACCAAATAGTACTATAAAGAAAAAATAAAGCCTGTAAGATGACAAGAGGATTATAAAGTTTGTCTTTCATTTCACCATAAATACAAAACCCATAGATTGACATCTCTTCCCTCTAAACCAATTTAGCATGTATAAGAATCAAGAACACAACAAAGCAGCTCAGCCCCTTTAAAAAGTAGTTGACAAACTCTAGACAAGGACCAACTTCACATATGTAAAGAAGATACAGGAAAATAAAATTTATGTGAAGCACTCCAACTTCACACCACCTCAAA